CTAAGTTTGATAGACATCCTTCAAAGCTTTGCCCGCATACAGAGAAGTCGTCCATGAACACTTCCATGATGTTGTCTATAAAATCTGCGAAGATTGACATCATGCATCTTTGAAAGGTTGCAGGGGCGTTGCACAATCCAAAGGGCATTCGCCTATAAGCGAACGTTCTATAAGGACATGTGAACGTGGTCTTCTCTTGATCATCAGGATGGATAGGGATTTGGAAAAATCCTGAGTAACCATCAAGGTAACAGAAGTAAGAATGCTTGGCTAATCGTTCTAACATTTGATCTATGAAAGGTAGTGGGAAATGATCTTTTCGAGTGGCTTTGTTTAGTTTACGATAATCTATGCACACTCTATATCCCGTCACTACTCTTTGTGATATCGATTCGCCTTGAGCGTTTTTCACAACAGTGATACCTCCTTTCTTTGGCACTACATGTATTGGACTAACCCATTCACTATCAGAGATTGGATATATTATCCCGGCATCTAATAATTTCTTGACTTCTTCCTTTACTACAGTGCTAAGGGTCGGGTTTATTCTTCTTTGAGCTTCTCTGGAGGTTCTGCAGTCTTCTTCTAGCAGAATGCGATGCATGCAAACTGAAGGACATATTCCTTTGAGATCAGATATGTTATATCCTAATGCAGTTGGATATTTCTTCAAGACATCTAAAAGTTTCTTTGTCTCTATAGTTCCTAAACTGGAATTCACTATAACTGGTCTTTTACATTCAACATCTAAGAATTCGTACCTTAGGTTTTTAGGTAAAGTTTTTAATCCTAATGTAGGTTTATCTTTACTTGGCATGGGATCCGGTGTAAGTGCTAAGCTTTCGCTCAGACTATTATCCTGATACGGTTTTTGCCAATTATCATCTTCGAGAATTGGAGGGATTTGAATTTTCATTGTTTCAGAATAAGTGGTCTCCTCCAGTTCCATTTCTCTTACACATTCGTCAATTACGTCCATTAGATAGCATGTATCCTCTATAGCTGGTGATTGTAAGAATTGTGTTAAAACAAATTCAACTTTCTCTTCACCTACTTCAAAGGTTAGCTTTCCTCTTTTTACGTCTATTATAGCTCCGGCGGTAGCTAAGAATGGTCTTCCTAGTATGATAGGTGTAGTGGAGTCTTCAGAGATGTCCATGATTATAAAATCAGTAGGAATGTAGAATTGTCCTATACGTACTGGGACGTTTTCTAGTATGCCTACAGGATATTTAACAGAGCGATCGGCTAGTTGAACAGACATTTTTGTTGGTCTTAGTTCTCCCATGTCTAGCCTTTTGCAAATCGTTAGGGGCATAACACTGATACTGGCTCCTAAATCGCATAGAGCTTTGTCAATGACGAATTTTCCTATTACACAGGGTATAGAGAAACTTCCTGGATCTTTTAGCTTAGGAGGCATGTTATTCTGGATTATGGCGCTACACTCGGCAGTGAGTGTAACTGTTCCGTTATCCTCTATCTTTTTCTTATTGGATAAGATCTCTTTTAGAAACTTGGCATACGAGGGTATTTGGGTAATTGCTTCTGTAAACGGAATAGTAATATTCAACTGTTTCAGAAGTTCTACAAATTTCTTGAATTGACCCGTCGTCTTAGAACTTATTAATCTTTGAGGGTACGGAATTGGTGGTTTATAGGGTGGTGGAGGCACATAAGGTTGTTATTTCTCCACTACCTCTCGACTTTCATCTTCCTTTTCTTCTGGATCATTCACCACTTCAGTCGGTTTATCCGGTTTTTGGTACATGGCTGGATTGTCAAGTCTCGGATCGGTAGGTCCGTCAAGTTCCTTGCCACTTCTTAATATTACAGCGTTAGCATGTCCTTTCGGATTAGGTTGAGGTTGTCCAGGGAATACTCCAGCTGGTGCAGCAGTAGGCGCTTGTTGTTGAGCTACTTGTGAAATCTGAGTTTCAAGCATTTTGTTATGCGTAGCTAGTGCGTCTACTTTGCTCACTAATTGTTTAATCTGCTCGCTAGTGTGAATGTTTTGGTTTAAGAAGTCCTTGTTCGTCTGAGATTGGCTAGCTATAAAGCTCTCCATCATCAATTCAAGGTTCGATTTTCTAGGGATGTTAGGAGCAGTCTTTTGATATCCTGGTGATGTAGCTGGTGCTTGACCTGGTGCGTAATAAGCATTGTTACTCTTATAGGAGAAATTCGGATGATTCTTCCAACCTGGGTTGTATGTGTTTGAGTAAGGGTTTCCTTGAGCATAATTCACTTGATCAGTGGGAGTTCCTATCAATAGTTGACAATCAGAGACTTCGTGTCCTGGGACTCCACATAACTCACAGTTGGGTGTTACTGCAGCCACGGTGGCTGCAGGTGTTATGGCCAAGTTATCGATCTTTTGGCTTAGTTGGTCAAACTTCGCATTGACTTGGTCCATACTACTTACTTCGTACATACCTCCCTTTGTTGGTTTCTCAGTTGCGACTCTTTCGCTTCCCCAAAGGTAATGATTCTGAGCCATACTTTCGATAAGTGCATAGGCATCACTATATTCTTTGTCCATCAATGCACCACCCGCGGCAGCGTCAATTGTCATTCTTGTATTGTACAAGAGTCCATTATAGAAGGTATGGATGACCATCCATTCTACTAATCCGTGATGTGGACAAAGCCTAAGTAGATCCTTATAGCGTTCCCAAGCTTCGAATAATGATTCACTTTCTCTTTGCTTAAATCCGTTGATCTGAGCTCTCAGCATAGCTGTCTTGCTAGGTGGAAAATACCTGTTCAAGAAAACTTTCTTAAGCTGTTCCCACGTAGTTACTGAGTTTGAAGGCAGAGATTGAAGCCATGCTCTTGCTCTGTCTCGAAGCGAAAAAGGAAATAAATGTAGTCTAATAGCTTCTTGGGTAACTCCATTGGCTTTTACGGTATCTGCATATTGCACAAAGATAGAAAGATGAAGATTCGGATCCTCGGTAGGATTCCCGGCGAATTGGTTTTGTTGCACGGCTGATATCAATGATGGTTTTAGTTCGAAATCGTTTCGGTTGATAGCCGGTGCTGCAATGCTTGAATGCGGTTCACCTTGCGAAGGATTAGCGTAATACTTGAGTGGATGAGCTTGTTCTTCAGCCATTCCTGCGTTTTCTGATTTTACGACTGGTTCAGGCGGATCTAATTGAAGATCTGGAATGTTGGAATTATTTTCGAAATCGAGTATACGTCTTCTTACGTGTAAGAAGCGCTCCGATTCAGGGATTAGAGGTTGCAAGTCTTCGCTTTTAGAGCGAGTACGTGGCATACACTCGGAGATTAGACTAAATTAAATTATTGATACCTTAGTCTAGACAATGCTACCTAAGTGCACTAGTAACTAAATTAAGGAATCCCCGGCAACGGCGCCAAAAAACTTGATGGGCTAAAGACGTGTCTACTTATGCGTCTAGCGGTATCTTACTGCAAGTGCACAGCCTATCGAAGTAATATTTAAGATTATCGATCCACAGGGATTCTATCGTTACTTAGTGCTAGATGAACTTCTAGTTTAGCTAAGGCGAATAGTTGTCACGATTGTTGTTGGTTTCCTAAAACTATTGAAGGCGGAATTAAATTCAAGTTTTTAATAAAATAATACTAAAACGGTCGGCATGTAATTATACTAACTTAGGTGGGTTAATCTAACCTAGGCTTATAAAGATGTTCACTTAATCTACTCGGTAGAGATTACTAGTTCGAATACCCTCAACTCACACTCTCGTGGTCTTGAATCAGATCTTATCCCTAAAGCCCTATGCCTGCTCTCGCTAGCCCATAAGTGTTTAGAGATAATTTTTGGAAACTAAATAATTCTAATTTATCTTAAAGCGCTCTCGCTGTATTTAATTTAAATGCCTAACTTTAGCTATCTGGTTAAAATCTCACACTCTCGTGGTCTTGACCCAACCTAATACCCTTTTCTTACTCTCGTAACGAAAAGGTCGAATTTAATTAAAAAGTATCAGCCAGAATGTTAAGCGATTAATTATTTTAGCCCATGGTTATATTTTACCGGTTAAGTTAGTTATAACTACATACCGCCCTAAGGTATTTAGCTACTCATCGAGGTTAAATCAGACTCAGAGTTATTTATTAACTTACTAATGGCAGAGAAATAATTGGACATTATAAATAAATTAAATAAATTAAATTGTAATAACTGAAAAAAACCTGATTAACAAATATCTGAGTAGACTCCTTCTTCCACAGACCGGAAGGCTTGGAGTAGGCGGAAATAAAAATTAAAACGAAATGCTGAAGGCTGGAAACAAGTAAAGGTGTAACAATTCCCTAATGTTGGAAATTGTTACACGGTTGGTTTGGATACAAATAAAATAAGGCAGAAAATAAAATGCTGGAATAATAAATCTGATGGTAAGGTAATTCGGCAGAGCTTCCGCAGGAAATTTGGATACTGAAGTCTGTCCCAAAATCCTTCTGAGCTGGTCCTATTTATAGAGCTTCCAATGAGCTGGTCCTGGGTCTCTTGCTTCTTGGGCTTTGCTGAAGTGGTTGAGAAAATGTTGGAAAGTGGCAGCAGAAAGTGGGAGAAATCTCCCTCACGTGAGATTTACTAGGAGGAGTGGCTTCACTGGTGCCTTTGACGTAGTCTGAGTCAAAAGAATCAAGTTATATCCTTGTCACGGGCGTGACAAGGTCTTCACGCTCGTTGTCTTATGTTTTCAAGTGTCACGGTCGTCACTCATTCCACACGGTCGTGAGGTCCCAAAGTAAGGTGTCACGGTCGTGACACCCTTGTAACGACCGTGGTCGTAACAAATTATGCAGAGTTTTATGCAGGCTTCTGTCTTGCTTCATTTCTTGTGGTTTCTTTGTTCTTTTCTTCTTAATTCTTGATTTGGCCTCACATATCGATGTACCTGCAAAATAGTAAGAAAAACTCGAGGAATCGAGCGTTAAAACGGTGAATGCGCGGTAAAAGTCAATGAAATCTAGCGATATAACGGTGCGTTTTCTCGTCATCAACTCTCCCGAGGTTGAATATCAACATGGCAGTTCCCTTCATCTTCATTTCTTAGAGTAGAATTCGTTCCACGAAGCTCGCCATATTTACAAGGGCTAGTGTGTTTTGGCTTAACCAAGCCATTATCTTCCTTGGAAAAGATAGTACTTGTATTAACAGAAAATTCAGGATTCTTCCATTTAGTTGCTAGCTTCAGCTCATCAGATTTCTGCTTAGGAGTGGGAATGTTTCTATCAATATGCTCTAATATCTTCTTAGCCATCAGACTAGTATGTGTGTGTACTGTTGGAACACTGCGCTCAAAGCCCAGTGGCTTCCGAGTGCTGCTCATCCCACCAGGATCCATTCTTGTGGCAACAATAGGACTTGAACGTTCAATCAAACTGGCATTTTCTCTCTGTGAATAATTCATAGATGAATATGCTGGTCTTCGTGAAGTCGATTGCACACCAACTTTATGCCTAGTTTGACGAATAGGTCCAACGGATCCATATCCACTTGCTGATGCACCAACTTCAGATTTGTCCTTCAGATATAGACTTGTCTGTGATTGACGAAGGGGAGTTGATGAAAAGTGGCTTTCATTGCCTTGGCTATGAATCAACTTGGACTTAGACTTCATCAATAGAGTTCTGGAATAAGGAGTCCGTGCATAATTAATAAGTCCATATTTGCTTCCTTGACTTTGTGGTGTTGCATAAGCATCCTGCACGACAGCACCTGGCCAGCATGTTGGTGACCTTTTTGATGGTGATGGATCATATGATTTTATTGCAGCTTCATCATTAAGGAGCATTGTGCTTTCAACAGTTTGAATCTTGTTCTTAGAACTGGGGCCTGCTTCAGATGCCCGGAAATCCATATATGCTCTAGCAATATCAATTGGTGAAGCACCAATTTCACCTCGGACTTTTGACATGAAAGGTGTTGAACTTCCTCGTATGGCTCCATTTGATTCTTCATGCCTTCGTTCATTGAAAACCTTTGGAAGCTTGTGTGCCACTACAAGCCCCCTGTCATCTTGCCTAGGAGTCAAATTTGTGTTTCCTTGTTCAACACTAGCAACGTCAATTGCTCTTGAATTCAAAACCTCCACTAAATGATCGAATTCATCTCTGGTGAATTTTTTCCTTCTCAACAGTTGCTCGATATCTGAAAACCTATCATTCTCGTGTTGTTCTCCTTTTTCAATGTGCCTGGGCAGAGCAGTGTCAAAACTGCTATCATCACCAATACTTGCCATTTTAGACAATTCAGATGGCAGGAGATTTGAATTAGTTATGAGCAGATTATCTTCACTGTGCTGTTCATCAGCTCCCGGTTCACCTTGATCTTCGTTGGAAGAGAATAACGAAGGAAGAAACCGAGTGGCTCCACCGGCGATGATGCGATAAGCAGGATCGACTAGCTTTGAAATCCATCGGCGGTTTGCGGTTAATGAGGGACGGGTGTAAGGACTCGCTGGTGGCTTTCTCGGCGGGGGTTTTCTAAGTTTGCCGCCGGCGCCTCTAGCGTCCGCTAGTGTTGATGGAAAAGCTGTGATTTGATCAGGGTTGTCCATGGAATTGAGGCTAAACTTAACTGAAAGAACGGCGGAAAAGTTTTAAAAGGAAAAGGAAGAAGAAGGGAAGGGCGAAAACGATGTTACCACCGGCACTAACACCAATTTTGCTGAACCAGTTACAACAAGTTTCTTTAGCAACGACACAGATATCACTGGCTTCAAAGTTTTCTGCCAAGTTGTAGAATAAAGCTCCGTCTTCAGTAAATTCTGCTTTCTGTTTTATGCCTTTCCAAACCAAGAAGATACTCGAACATGTTTTGCAATGCTTGAATCTTAAGTCGGGCATTAACATGAGAAGACAGTGTTTCCTACAGTATCTTTCCAATGTCATGTTCTAACATAAATTCAGCCATTGCAATTAGAACATATCCTAGTGCCTGCAATGATCTAACCTTAAGAGAATAATCATCCACGATAAGATACCTCATAAACAAGCTTAGGCTCCTTCTGACATCAATAAGTTTATTACCAGAGCTTGCTAGCAAACAGTTGCCATAACAAATAAGCAAACCGATACAGAAGAGAGATCGCCCAACTTGTTGTTTGTTTATAATTGCCTGGATATCCAAACATTTGAAGAAGACCTGGATAAGATGCTCAACTACATCTGCCCCCTTTCCAGCAATCTTACTCATACTGCAGAGGCATTTGATACAAGCAGGGACAAACAGCAATGGCAACACATCATCAATTATAAATGCTATACTCTTAAGTAACTGTGCAGCAATGTTATTCATGCTATTGTCAACCTGAGTCTTCAGATATGGCTGCAAAGTAATGACATAAGATGGCGTGTCATCAGAAATACTTCTGTCATAAGGAAAAGAGAGCATTGTTGACACACATACGTCTGGGTCAATTGGAAAGTTTTGCTGACTTCTGGTCCATTCTTCAAATGCTTCTGAATTTACCTCTAGATTCTGAGGGCACGAGCCAATCATGGACTCAATTTGTTTCATCACATTGTATATTGCCAAATCAATCTCACTGAGTATTGCACCGTAAGAATAACACAGTAGTGCAAGAAGTTCTTTTTTTGTTGATGGCAAGGCTTCATGTATTGCACGTAGCATGAACTTGCTCACGTGGACTTGATTGTTTTGCAAATTATGTTGACTTAATTAAATCTGACCCAAAATCCACACATGAGCTTTCTTCACCAATGTTTGATAAAATGAATGAACAAATCTTGGACCACTGAATATCTTACAACTAAAGAACATGTCATTTGAATCCATTTGAACTTTTCATAACTTTCTAAATCTCATAAATCACTTCTTGATAGCCTGATGAATTCTAGCACAAGACAACATGGCCTTGAACAATCACATTTTCTGAGAAAATAGCCCACCACCACGGGTAACTTATAGTTGAAGGAAACTCTTGATAGTTTGACCACGATGAGGTAAAACTTTCATCTGATTTAGACTGGAATGAACGTCCTTGCCATCAATCTTCCTGCAAAACCCTATACGCACAGAGAAGGAGAAAAAACAAGCAAATTGCAAAATATTTTTGGTATTTTGGTTAGAGGTTAGTAAACAGAAATAAACATAAAGCAAGTAGAAAACACAAATGCGCTGAGAGAACCAAAAAATATGGTCTTGTTTGTGTATGCAAAAATGAAAATGCAATGTGGGATCTTAGGGGTAAAAATTAAGGTATTACAGCAGCCTCATATGCTAATGTGACCAAACAGGTGGTGGCTAAATTTATAAAGAGGGACATCATCTGTCGTTACGGAATTCTCGAACGGATCATTACTGATAATGGTTCAAATCTGAATAACAGGATGATGAAGGAGCTGTGCCAGAGTTTCAAGATTGAACACCACAACTCATCACCTTACCGGCCGAAGATGAATGGCGCCGTTGAAGCGGCCAATAAGAACATAAAGAAGATTGTTCAGAAGATGGTTGTGACCTACAAAGATTGGCACGAGATGCTGCCATTTGCATTGCACGGTTATCGTACCATGGTGCGTACGTCAACCGGGGCAACTCCTTTCTCCTTGGTGTACGGTATGGAAGCTGTCCTACCGTTAGAAGTGGAGATCCCTTATTTGCGAGTTTTGGTTGATGTGAAACTCGACGAGGCGGAATGGATTACGAACCGACTGAACCAACTCATCCTGATGGATGAGAAGAGGTTAGCATCGATTGCGTATGGTCGTCTGTACCAAAGCCGAATGAAGAAAGCTTATGATAACAAGGTGCGTCCTAGAAGCTTTCAGACGGGTGATCTCGTCCTACAGAAGATTCTTCCTCCACACTCCGATCACCGGGGCAAGTGGACTCCTAATTACGAAGGTCCGTACGTCGTCAGCAAGGTCTTCTCAGGAGGAGCTTTGTTGTTATCCACGATGGATGGTGAAGATTTTGCATCCCCGGTGAACGCGGACGCGGTTAAAAAATACTTTGCTTGAAAGCGACCCGCTGGACAGTAAAAAGAGAGTCCAGGCAAAAATGGGGCATCCCGGCGAACCATAAAAAAGGAAAAGGGTTCGGGCAAAAATTAGGGATATAAATTGAAAAAATGTACACCCGCAAGATCGAAAACCCAGATGGGCGACTTTGGCAAAAAAGGGTATCCCGGTGAACTGAAAACCCGCAAAGGGCGGTTCACGCAAAAGTTAGGGATTTAAAAAAGCAAATGACTGCGTTCCGCGTGTGGACTTTCATTGTTTAGTGGTTTGGAAGACCTGAGGGCCGTTTATCTGAATCAATCTCTTCTGAAGCTGAAGCGTCGGAGAAGTATCAAAGTCGAGTGGGTCATAAAGGGATCAACTCATGGTGTTCGTCTACGCCTCGTTGCCGACATTTGTATATACTGATGTATATTTATGTTTTATTGCGCAGCTTCCTCATTCCAGGAGCTTGCATCTGTTGTAAAACATTTTTACCCATTCAGGGGTTCGTTATCAATAAAATGTATACTATTCAGCAATTCTGTTTGTCTGTCTAGCATTTCTCTGTTTTGTTTGCAAAAAAGAACGCCGATGTTTTTGATAAAATGCGCATACATAAACTTACTGGACTAGGCCACTGATTGTTGAAACGATGAATTACTTGAACATTGTCACGAGATAATAACCTTGATAGGTCCCTTTGAGAAGGGTATCTTGTCTGTTTGTTTGTGTTGTTACAGGTGTAGCAAATTCCAGGCAGTACGCCATACGTGTCCCCGAGCAGGATGATTCCTCCCCTCAACAAAGGTCAGCAACCTCACCCCGCAGAGTCTGAACGTGAGATCATAAAGCATTGATATGTTTCCCCAGGCAGAGAAGATTCTCTCCCCAATCAGATGCATCCTGAAGGAGCGGCATTTCCCCAGCTGAGTCAGGCGCCGAAGCGTGTGTTCATTCCCCCAGCACCGGGTCACAGGTGCAGGCCTCGTAGGAGACCGTCCACTGAAGTGTGCAGCAATTGATAGTTCAAGACTGAAGTCTCCAGCGGAATTGAGATTCCCCACAGAGTAGTACTCTCCCCCGAAGCCGGATGATTCCTTCTTCCTCAGCAGAATTGAGATTCCCCACAGAGTCGTACTCTCCCCAGTAAGCAGAATGATTTCTCCTTCCTCAGCCGAGTTTGCAGTTCCCCAAGAGAGCCGAGTCCTTGGAAGCCGTTCGGGCCATGATTGGTTCGCCCCAGTAGAGTGCTGAATAACTGATGTTGTATTTCCCCACCGGAGTCGTTACCTCCAGGAGGGTCTGGTTGCGAATGCCAGGCAGTTTATTTCTGCGATTGACATCGCTTTCCTCAGAAGGTCCAGGTTCTCGTAGAGCTTCCTTCCCCTGCAGCAGTCAACTGAAGTTCACTTCCCCCAGGCGGAGTCCAATTGAGATTGGCATGACCTTGTTCCCCTCAGCAGGATGATTCCTCTATCTGAGTAGTTCTTTCTCCTCGACAGGAGGATTCCCCCTTCAGCATTTATTTTGCTGACGGGATCGCATCATGTTGCATGATTGCATAGCATGTATTATAAACGTGTAGCATTTCCACCGTGTGGAACATTGCACCATTCCCGAAGCATATGCATACTAAACATGAGCTAGGTCGTTACTGTTCTTGTTTTGCAGGTGTCCCTCCGCAGAATGGATTGATCAAGACGATTCTTGACTTCTCCCCAGCACAGCCGCTTGCCCAAGATGATTCTTGAATCCCTCGCAAAGCCGCTTGATCAAGATGATTCTTGAATTCTCCCCGACGAAGTCGCTTGCTCAAGATGATTCTTGAATTCTCCCGGCAAGGGCGTTTGCTTAAGATTATTCTTAAAATCCCCAGTGCAGTCGCCAGAGTTGGTTGCTCAAGTTGACACTTAGAGTCCCCAGTAAAGGTTGCCCAGGATGATTCCTGAAGTCCCCAACAGAGTATTCGCTCAAGATGATTCCTGAAATCTCCAGCATAGTTATCGGTTCAAGATGATTCTTGAAGTCCCCGGCGGAGTTACTTGTCCAAGATGATTCTTGAATTCCTTAGCAGAGTTGATTCATCCAGAATGATTTCTGGATCCCCGAAGCAGAGTTACTTGATAGTTCTCCAGAATCCCCAGCGGAGATGCGTCATCCCCAGCAGGTTTCTGAACATCGAAGTTGAAACTTCCCTCGAAGACTTGATGATTGAAGTCTGACCGTGTTAATGAAGCAGTCCTCTCAGCTGATGCGGAGTGCCTGATGGCGGAAATTTGGATATCCCCGAGCGGTTCATGATTGACCGAGAACTCTATCCCCGACTTACTGATGGAGCCTGGCTAATGCCCGAAAGATTTCTTTGAATGCCCGATGGCATGATCAGCTTGTTGACCTGATGAGTCTCGAAGAGTCCTGATGCCTGACGGCATGATCGACCATGTATCACCGGTTACCGTGTGACCAATTCCCCAGCTAGTTGCCGTGCAGCTAATGTTTCAGTTTTCGAAGATTTGTTCCCATCAGAGTACCGTGCACTTGTGCAGTTGGCAAATTTCCGGGTTTATCGGTATTCAACCGTCTCGCACCT